GTTCCAATAAAAAAAGAAAAAAAGGCATATAAAAACAGAAAAATTAAAGAAAACGGATAATATTTCCAGATTTTTTTCTATGTATATTTATGCTCTTTAATATTGGAAGGGTTTTGACAAAATTCATTTCTTTAACAAATTACAATATACATAAATGTATAATGGAGTATTTCATGACTAAAAATCCATTCTGTACATCATACCAAGGAAATCCAATGCCAGGAGGATGCCAATCCCAATTCATCTGTTTTTTCTGCTGTGAAAAATACCTCTGCAAGTTGAAATCCATTTTCTGGCCAGTTTGCCTTTAAAAAATATTATAGAGCATTAGGAACAGAGTTTTATGCTATTGGGAGTGTACAAAATGTCTTTTTCATGTTAATTGTACTGGTTTTACCTTATCAGTTAATTCAAGGTTCCTGGCTGCTTGTTCTAACCATTTTGCAAGAATTTTCTGAAACAGACATGTCATTTAAAAGTAAAATTCTCAATAGGTAATCAATAAAATAATGAAAATCCTCTATGTTCATCATTCCTAAATTATTATTTGTTAATTTATTTTTTGTAGCATTGGGAATCAAACCCAGGGCCTTATACATCCTAGGTAAGTGGCATACCACTGAATTATACCTCCGGCCCAAGGATAATCTTTTAAAAGAGACACTTAAAAGAACTAACTTGTGGGCTGGGGATGTGGCTCAAGTGGTAGCGCGCTCGCCTGGCATGCGTGCGGCCCAGGTTTGATCCTCAGTACCACATACAAACAAAGATGTTGTGTCCGCCGAGAACTAAAAAATAAATATTACAAAATTCTCTCTCTCTTAAAAAAAAAAAAACAAAACAAAACAAAAAAAAAACTAACTTGTGTTAACATGACTTAGTCTTCAAATACCTAATGAAAAAATAATAAAATTGAATCACGAGGAGTGGAAATACTGGAGGAAACTCACCTGTCCTTCAGGAACAGTCCTTCTCACAAAAGGGATCACATCATTTTTAAGCCATGGACAAAGTTTTTGCAAAGAGACTGGTGTGGAAATTGAGTTGAGCAAGTTCTCAAGCATCTTCACATCAAATCTGCTTTTGAAATTTGCCTAAATCATGCGGAGTGAGAATTAAGACTTAGCTTACAATTTTAACTGACAATCTCCCAAAAAGCAAAGACCATTTTAGGAATTCATCTCAAGGAATATTTTATTCACTTAATATGAACATTAAAGGTGATTTACTCTATGCAAATGATTCAAGTTAGGGGTCACAATCCCTTGAACTCTCGTATCAGTGACTGCCAGATAGAAACCGGAACCAACAAAGGTGCTGCAGAGGAAAACATAGTTGGAGGTGACAGTACAAATACTAACAGATAATGTGTCCACAAACACTGAGACATTTTCTGAACCTAACATTAGATATTAATATTGGCCAACATTCAGGGATTTGGATGAATGATTTTTTAAAAATTAATTAATTGATTAAGGAATTAAAGAGATGGGGTCTCATCATGCTGCCTAGGCTGGCCCTAAATTCCTGAGCTCAGACAAGCCTCCTCTCTTAGGTTCCTAAATACATGGGACTACAGAGGCATGCGACCGCACTTGGCCTTTCGATAAATACTTTTAACAGGCAACTCCTATACCACGATCTGAATTGCAGCAGGAACATCCTTTCTATCCTCACATCATTCAGAGCCCATCAATTAACCAGTTAATAAAATGTTGTCTAATAAACTAAGATTTGGAATCAATTAAATTCTGATGAGATAAAATCAGGTTCTATGATATCTTCATAGCACTTCCTCTGATTTAATATTGTCAGAGGATTATTTTTCCCTAGGAAAGGTCACACCTTATCAATCTGAAAACTTTCTATTGCCCAGTTACATGTGTTGCCCTGTTAGCTTCCAACACTGAGTCAATAACCCATGTTAGAAACTGGAAAGCTATTAGGAAAATAAAACACAAAATGTATTACCTGATGTCGAAGCCAAAGATACTGTGCACAGACAAGATTTCCTTCTCTTAGCTGTAAAAATATGTCTTTAAGATCATCTTCATTATTCAGAAATTCAATCCAAGAACTACCACTGGGAAGTTAAAGGGAAAAACACAGTTAACAATTTATAAAATTAATTAAGGTTTTATCTTTTAAGTGGATATCCTCATAAAGCAAAAAATGAAAACAATTCCAAAGATTCCACATTGAAAAATAAGTCTCTTTCTTTCCAGATCTAAAGAATTTCTGTCATCTTCCCCAGAGTCCTAGCTTTCTGGTAGGGTTCCTCAGATAATCACTATATACATTAACAACTATTTTAACTCTTAAATGAATAAATTTTTATATGCTATCTAAACATTAAAATTATTATCATCTTGGTGCACATACTAAATCAGTATACATAAACATAATTTTTTTTTTAAGGACCACACAGCATTCCATGGCATGAATATACTATTATCTATTTCCCTAAGCTCCCAGAGTTGAATATTGAGATTATTTCCAGTCTTATAACCAACAATGGTGCAATGACAATATAGTTCTGATTAAAATTCAGATATAGATGATGAATACTTCCTCGAGATGATATAATGACAAATAAAATCCCCCCAAAAGCTTGTCCCATGCTCAGATGATAAAAAGGAACAATTTTTGTTAAAGTCAGGAATAAAAGGATATCTATTAACTAATTATTTAGAAAGGTTCAGGTAATACCAGCCAATGAAATTGGGCAAGGAAATCAGAACTTATGAGGCAAAACTATTAATATTTGAATGTGTAATTATACACCAGGAAAAATAGGACCAACTGATTGAATTATTAGTATGAATAATAAAGGAATTCAATAAGGTAGTTCATTTTAAAAAATCTATAGCTCTCTACAGTGTTTAAAAAAATCATGAAGCAAGAATTAGGCAAGAGAAGGAAATAAAAGGGATAAAAATAGAAAAAAAAAAGAAGTCAAATTCTCACTGCTTGCAAATGATATGATCCTATACCTAGAAATTAAAAAAAAAAAAAAAACCACCAAAATGGTGCTAGAGCTAATAAACAAATTTTAATTTAGCAAAGTAGCAAGTGACAAAATCAACACACAAAAATCAATTGTTTTCCTATGTAGCAACAATAAATCTGCTGAGGAAAAAAAATCGGGAAACCAATTCCATTCACAATAACCTCAAAACAACAACAACAACAACAAACCTAGGAATAAATCAACCGAGAAGTGAAAAACCTCTACAGTGAAAACTACAGAACACTGAAGAAAGAAACTGAATTAAGACTCTACAAGATGGAAAGACTTCCCAAGCTCTTGGAAAGGCAGAATTAATAGTTAAAATGACCACATTACCAAAAGCAATATATAGATTCAATGTATTACCCACAAATACCAATGACATTTGTCACAGACCTAGCAAAATCCTAAAATTCATTTGGAAGAATAAAAAAACCAAAATAGCCAAAGCAATTCTAAGCCAAAAAAACCAATGCTGGAGGCATCATAATACCTGACTTCAAATTATAATACAGATTTATAGTAACAAGAACTGCATGGTACTGGCATTAAAAACAGACACTTAGACCTGTGGTACAGAATAGATCCCAGAGACAAACCCACACAGATAGAGGCATCTGATCCTTGACAAAAGCACCCAAAAAATACATTGGAGAACAGGGCCTTTTAAAAAATGGTGTTGGGAAAACTGGTTATCCATATGTAGAAGAATGAGACTAGACTTTAACACTCACCCTGCTCAAGTCAACTCAAAATGGATCAAAGACCTTGGAATTAGAACAGAAATATGCAACTCCTAGAAGAAAACATAGGATCAACATTCCAGTATACATGCAATGGCTTTTTCAAAAGAACCCCTAAGATCAGGAAATAATGTCAAGAGTTAATAAAGGAGATGGCATCAAATTATAAAGTTCTACACAGCAAAGGAAACAATTAGAAATGTGAAGAGAGAACTTACAGAATGGGAGAAAATTTTTGCTAGCTACTCTTCTGACAGAGGATTAATACCTAGAATATATAAAGAACTCAAAAACCTACACTCCAAAAACCAAATAACCCAATTAATAAATGGACAAATGATTTAAAACTTTTCAAAAGAAGAAATACAAATGGGCGGGCTGGAACTGTGGGTCAGAGGTAGAACGCTTGCCTCGTATGCGTGAGGCCCTGGGTTCAATCCTCAGCACCACATAAAAATAAATAAATAAAAATAAAGATCTTATGTCCATCTACAACTAAAAGGAAAAAAAAAGAAAAAAGAAAGAAATACAAATGGCCATTATTAGCAATTAGGGAAATGCAAATCAAAACTACACTGAGATTTTATCTCATACCAGTCAGAATGGCAGTCATGAAGAATATAAATAATGACACAAATAAGGAGAGGATATGGAGAAAAAGGAATACTTTTGAATTGTTGGTGGGATTATAAATTAGGACAACCACTATGGAAATCAGTACGGAGACTAGGCATCAATCCACCATACGACCACGCCTTAGAACTTACACTGAAAAAGCCATCATACATGAAGTGACATGAAGTGGGACAGAAGAGGCTGGACACCCTAAGAATTTTCAGAAAGCAGTTTATTGGCTGTAGCTGGCCGGTCTACCATGTGGTTCATGTCTGAATCGTTCTCTGGACAGAGATTTGGGGAATTTTTTGAACTTTATACTCAGTAGCAGGAGGGGGGATTGGAGGTTCGTGTGAAAAGTGCTTTTCATTCCGTCCTCCAGACCAGACACAGGTTTCACAAGTTTTTACCAAGAAAACAGATGATATCTTTTTGTACAACAAGCTTGCAGAGTCTATTCGATCACACCTTTTGTGTGTAAACCTGGCATTTACAAGAAAGAGGAAGCTTCCAACCACAGTGCCTTCTGCAGACATCCTGCCTTATGATACTCTTTGTAAAAATCTTTTTTTTAAAAAAATCTTTATTTTTTAGTTCTCGGCGGACACAACATCTTTATTTGTATGTGGTGCTGAGGATCGAACCCGGGCCGCACGCATGCCAGGTGAGCGCACCACGGCTTGAGTCACATCCCCAGCCCTGTAAAAATCTTTCTGATGAGAGAAGAAGCTTAATTACAGCAAGGGGTTTTCTGGGTGGGGTCTCTGCTTCAATGTATGCATACCCATGTTAATAGTGCACAATTCACAGCAGCCACATTTTTTTAAATTAGTCTACACTTCTCTTTTTTTAATATTTATTTTTTAGTTATAGGTGGACACAATATCTTTATTTTACTTTTATTTGGCGCTGAGGATTGAACCCAGTGCCTCACGCATGCTAGACAAGCACACTAGGCGAGCACTCTACCTCTGAACTTCAACACCAGCCCTACAGCAGCCAAATTATAGACCCAGCCTAAGTGTCCACTGACAGATGAATAGATTGAGAAAATGTGGTATATATACACAGTGGCGTTTTATTCGACCATAAAGAAAAATGAAATTATGTCATTTTCAGGAAAATGGATGGAACTAGAGACCACTATGTTGAGAAAAATATGTCAAACTCAGAGGGTTAAGGGTTGTATGTTTTCTCTCGTGTGCAGGAAGCTAGAAAGGAAAAAAGAAAGATGTGGATGTGTCTCATGAAAATCAAAGGAAGATCAGTGGAGGAAAGGGACCAAAGGGCGAGAGACGGGGAGGAAGGGAAGGAAGTGCTGGGAAGTGATATTGGGCGAATTATATTTTTACAGTATATATTGTGGGCATGTATGAATACGTAACAACAACAAATTCCATTGGTATGTACATCTATAATGCACCAATAAAAATTGTAGGGAAAAAGATAAATCAAATTTAGGAAGTATTCTATAACATGCTGAAATTTCAGAGAATGGTGCTATTTTCATTTGAGATGAACATAAAATGCTTAAAAGCCTCAAAAAAAAAAAAATGACGGAGGAAAACCCCCCATTTACAATTATGGGAAACATGGTAAAAAATCTGAATAACATTAACAAAAAATATGCAAAATTTATATTAAAAAACATAATAAGAGGGCTGGGGTTGTGGCTCAGTGGTAGAGTACTCACTAGTTTGTGCAAGCTAAGTTGATCCTCAGCACAAAACAAGACAAAAAGAAAATTGCCCAAGGAGGCAAAATTTGAAATACTCTTATACAAATCAATTTACAAAGAACAAAACCCCAAGAGAAATAGGAACCAAAGATGTAAAAAAAAAAAGGAATACTTAGCTCAGTCAAAATTAAGAATCAAGCCAGGTGCAGTGGTACATGCCTGCAATCTCAGAGACTTGGGAGGGTGAGGCAGGAGGATCACAAGTTGAAAGCCAACCTCAGCAACTTAATGAAGCCCTAGGTAACTTAGCGAGACCTAGGGCTGGGGATGTAGCTCAGGGATAGAGTGCCCCTGAATTCAAAACCCAGTACAAAAAAAAAAAAAAATCAAAAATCAAAGCCAAAGCAATGCAGCAACTGTTTTTGCAATATATTTTTCACAAATCAGATTAATAAAAATAAAATTTTATGATAAAGTCTCAATGAATGAGAAAATGGGCATCTCCTCTCCATTTATCAGAATGAATGAATATATCTGGAGGATAAATTTAGAAGCGTATACATTTGCCTTAGCAATTCCATTTCCAGAAACTGAATCCATATATATACTCATATGTGCACCATGACTATCATTTTTTACAAACACAAGGTATGCTTTCCTTAAAGATAAATCTATTTATCAGGGTAAATTAACAATTAAGAGAAGTGAACTGTTAGACAATATTGTAAGAAAATGAGAAAAAGCAAAGTTGTAAAGATTTCTACTAAAGAAATGACAGCAAGGTTGTTAAGCCTATTTTTTTTTTTTTGCCATAAAGATATATTTTCATCTGATTCAAATGTATGATATGTCAAGGTCATTGTACTGTCATGTGTAACTAATTAAAACAAACAAACAAAAAAAGATATATTTTCTATCATGTGAATATCCTGGCTCCCCCTTCACCAGTTAACACAAATTTATCCAAACAAATACTATATTTTCATGACATTCCAACTTTATAATTAATTCGCAATCTAGAAATGGGATACACACCTGAATTTTTCTGGTCCAAATGCTCCATAAAAAGTAGTCAACTTTGCATGAGCCCTTAGTACCTAATGAAAAAATACCTTGATAAACTGAATGTTATAGGCAATGTATTGAAATAAAAACTATCTGGGTTTAATCCCCAGTACCCCCCCCCCACACACACACACACAAAAAGAAAAAATTAGGGTCCTTCTAGTTCACAAGTCTTATATGCACCCTCATTTGATTCCACATTACAGGTCCATTCCTATTCCTACTGCCTTTACATAACACATACACAAAATAGAATGATGAAAATATCATCTATCACATTTGATTACAAAGGCCTATGCACATTAATCATAGTGTCCTTCAAAATCAGTTTCCTCTATGATTTATATACATGTGCAAGGTGCTAGTATGGGCAAGGTGCTGAGTCCATCCTAGTAAAACTAGGCTGGATTATACTGAACATTTATTTTGAGAATCTAAATGTACTCCTCATGTGCACATACCCATGTATTTTGGCACCATCATAATAATCATTAATGGTTTATATTTATTTGAGTTTAGCAGATAATAGGTACTCTGCAAAATAGTTTATAGAAACTATTTCCGTTTACCTCAGAAGGACTCTATAAAGCAAACATTATTTATGGTCCCATTTTGTAGAAAAGGGAGCTAGGGTTTTGTTTTTGTAGTACCAAGGATTGAAGCGGGGCACTCTATCACTGGGCTACATCCGCAGTCCATTTTTTATTTTGAGACAGGGTCTCACTAAGTTGCCCAGGCCGACAAACTTGTAATTCTCCTCCTTTTGCCTTCTAAGTAGCTGAGATCACAGGTGTGCACCACCATGCCCAAGCAAAGCTGAGGTATTAAAATGATAACTTGCTCTTAAAGAAATACAAAACTATCGGGAAAGGAAAAACATTGTGACAGCACATTCACCCCAAATTAATCTATCAATCTAATGTAATTGTAATTACCTCTATCAAGCCATCAGAATTGGCAGGAACAATTTTATCTTCTTTCTTCAAAAGCTAAGAATGAAAAATAAAAAACAGAACATCTACTATATTAGGTATTTCATAAAAGAGGATGGATTTTCTGTGAATTGATAAAAAAATAATATCTTTGAAAACAAATTACGTTAAGTCTGAACAATAAACAAAAAGACTTTTTTAAAAGGCGAAAGATTTATACGATCTGAAGAGAAACCAGAGTATAAAAAAAAAGACTTTTTTAAAAAACAATGCATTACATAGGAACAGCCCAGAAGATTTTGCCCATATGTTATACTTTCATTTTAAGGAGTATGTCAGCTAGAATAACAGTCATTCTCATAGGTCTCTGAGAGGAACAATTTACTGCAAAAATGGCATTATTTGAAATAGCAAAAAAAAAAAAAAAAAAAAGTTACAAATGTCTACAAGATAAAAAGAATTTTTTTCAAAATTACTTATTTGTGCATAAGATAAACTAACATGCACAAACATTATAAAAATTACTCTCTACTTCATACCTGTTAGGATAGCCAGTATCAAAACAAAAAGCAAACAAACAGAAAATAATGAGTATTGGGAAGGACGTAGAAAAAATGTGTTCCTTGTATGCTGTCAGTGGGAATGTAAACTGGTGCAGCCACCATGGAAAACAATATGGCATTCCTCAAAAAAATAAAAACAGAATTAACATATGATTCTAGCAATTGCACTTGTAGGTACATGCTCAAAAAAAAAAAACCTCAAAGCAGGGACTTGAACAGTTATTTGTAAAACCATATTTATAGCAGTTATTCACAACAGCAAAAAAATGTGGAAGAAACCCAAATGTCCATCAATGAATAAACAAAGCAAAATGTGCTCTGTTCATATACAATGAAGTATTATTTGGCAATAAAAAAGAAACATATCATTGGCCCTTGCTTCAACATGAATAAATCCAGAAAATATGCTAAATTAAAGAAGCTGGACAACAATGATACATATCATATGATTCCATTTATTTGAAATGTCCAGAACAGGCACAACTAATAGAGACAGGAAGTTTGCCTAGGTTGGGAGTTGAGAAAAACTGGAAGTAAATGTAATGAGTATAGGGTTTCTTTCTGGGATAATGAAAAAGTTCTAGAAATGATCATGGTGAGCAGGGCAGAGTGGTACAAATCTGTAATCCTAGTAATTCGGGAGGCTGAGGCAGGAGGACTATAAGTTTTGAGGCTAGCCTATGCAACTCAGCAACACCCTCAGAAACTTAGTGAGACTGTTTCAAAATGAAAAATAAAAAAGCGTTGGGGATGGGGGATATAGCTCAGTGGTAAACTATCTCTGGGTTCAATAATTCCCCAATGCTCCTGTCCCCCCTAAAAAGATTGTGGTAAATTGTATGATATACAAATGTTATCAATGAAATTATAATAAAATTTTAAAAAATATTACACATAGAGAATAAAATGGAAGCACAAAAAATGTATATGAATATGAGGTGGTAGAAGAAAGAAAAATAAAGAAAAAAATAAAGAAGAAAGGAATTCAGACAGACAAACCAACTTACCCTGGCTTTAGCATAATTGAGCATTTCCTGAGTTGTTTCATAGGTTATCCACTGGGCCTTCAGGCAATAATTCACTACAAATTCATCATCCTGTTTCACAAATAGTAAGTCATAGTGAAGAGACCTAATGTTGTTGATCAACACATCAGCTTGAGTACTCTAGGAAGTAGCTGGTGAAGCATACCTGGATTTTGTGTAGATTTTCCTTAGCTTCATCTACAAGTTGCTGCCATTTGGCCTGCTCACTGGTATCCACAGAACTCAAAGCTAGTTTCTCCAATATATCATTTGATTTTACCTTGTAAACAAGCTGTAATATAAACATACCACAGCAAATAACTTGAAGTACAATAGTATCTGAGGAAGACTTACTCTCACAGCAAACTGTGAGAGATTAATTTACGAATGAATCCTCATGTGGTTCAGGAATGAAGCTTAAAGAAAAGTAACGCTTTGGGCTGGGGTTGTGGCTCCTAGTATAGAGCTTGCCTAGCATGTGTGAGGCACTGGGTTCGATCCTTAGCACCACATAAAAAAAAAATAAACTAGATAAAGGTATTGTGTCTATCTGCAACTAAAAATATTTTTAAAATAAAGAAAGTAACACTTAGATATCTGAAAGAAATTATGGAAACCATTTTTATTTACTGAGCCTTAACTCACTGTCAAGCAGTATACTAAGACCTTAATATGAGCTAAGACATGCAAGCAACCTAATTGTACATTAATGGATAAATGGATAAAGAAAATGTGGCACATATACATGATGGAATACTATCCAGCCTTAGGAGAGATGAAATCCTGTCATTTGCAAAAATATAGATGAATATGAGGACACTATGCTAAATGAATAAGGCAGGCACAGAAAGACAACGCATGATCTCACATGTATGTGGAATCTAAACAATGGAACTCAATACAGGAGTGGAATGGTGGTTACGAGAGACTGTGGGAAGGAGTAGATAGATAAAGGGAAGATGCTGACTAAAGGTACAAATTTTCAATTAGAGAAGAATAATAATTTTGGACATCTACTAAGCAGAGTAGTTACTATAATTAATAACAATGTATATTTCCAAATTGCTAACCAGATTTTTTGTTTATTTGTAGTGCTGGGGTTTGAAACCAGGGGTGCTGTTACCACTAAATTACACTCCTAGCCCTTTTTGTATTTCATTTTGAGATGGAGTCTCCTTAAGTTGCCACAGATGGCCTTGAACTTTAGAATCCCCTGCCTCAGCCTCCTGAATAGCTGAATAGCTAGGTATGCACTACCATACCTAGTAAAGAATAGATTTTTTTTAAATATTTTTTTTTTAGTTGTAGACGGACACAATACCTTTATTTATTTCTATGTGGTGCTGAGGATCAAACCCAGTGCCTCACACATTCATGATGCACGCCCTATTACTAAGCCACAACCCCAGCACCCCAACCCCTGCAAAGAGTAGATTTTAAATGTTCTCATAACACACACACAAAATAGTAATTATGTGAGGTGACAGGAATACTAATTTGCTTGATTTAACTACTGTACAATGTAAATATATATCTCAAAATATTACATTGAACTCTGTAAAGTACATATAATGATTTATTGGTCAATTAAAAGAATTTTATAAATTATCTCAATTCGCACAAACACCTAAGTAGTAAGCATTTTTACCTCATTGTAACAAAACATCAAAGACTTAAGAAAGGTCCAGTAATGGGTATAAATTTATGCAACCCAAAAGCAATGCAGCTGGGTTTTCTTTGTTTTTAAGAGAGAGGTTTAGCTACATTGCCCAGGCTGGCCTCTAACTCCTGAAATCAAGGGGTCCTCCTGCCTCAGCATCCTGAATCACTGGGATTACAGGAATGCACACCATGCTCAGCTTATAGCTGGTTTTTAAAAGACAATCACACAATTGTGTTTCATGTCTAGTTTTTTAAAGTCTATTAACAATTCTTTAGTGTCTAGAGTTAAGAACACTTGCTAAGGCAGGAGGAGAAGTTAGAGGCCAGTCTGTGTAATTTGGCAAAACCTTGTCTCAAAACAAAAAAATAGAAACAACTAGGGTATAGTTCAGTGGCAGAGTACCCATGGGTTCAATCCCAAGTACCAAAAAAAAAAAAAAAAAAAAAAGACAGACCTAAAATTTCAAGTTCCTTTTATCAACTTAAAAAGACATACTTTCAATATGGTTAAGACCACTCTTATTTTGTTAAATATTTTTTTAGTTGTAGATGAACACAATACCTTAATTTATTTATTTTTATACCCAGTGCCTCACAACCCCAGCCCCAAGACTCCTCTTCTTAAATATATCATCCTCTTTTCTCCAACTGGAAGTACTCCTTATTTTGGTTTTGCACTTGCTACCATTTCCCTATCCCTTCATTCATATTCCTCTCTAAACAATAAACAAAAATATTCGAACTGTTTAAAACCTCATATTTGTTTTTATTTTTTGGTACTGGGGATTTAACCAAGCAGTGCTTTACCTCTGAGCCATATCCACAGTCCTTTTTATTTTTTGAGACAAGGTCTTACTAAGTTGCTTAGGGTCTGGCTAAATTGTTGAGGCTGGCCTTGAACTTGCAATCCTCCTGCCCCAGGCTCCCAAATTGCTGGGATTACAAGTATGCAGCACCATACATAGCAAATCTTATATATTATTTTTTTAAGGATTTTTTTTTAGTTGTTTGTAGACCTTTACTTTATTTATTTATATGCAGTGTCAAGAATCAAACCCAATGCCAGGCAAGTGCTCTACTACTAAGCCATAACCCCAGCCCCAAATCTTATATTTTTAAAACAACACATAGTTACCACCCATTTGGGAAATACTAATTCTTTTCTTCCCACACCATGGATTTAATCCAGGGGTACTTAAATAAGCCACATCCTCGGTTCTTTTTATTTTTTATTTTGAGACAGGGTCTCACTAACTTCCTGAGGCTGGCTTTGAACTTGTGATCTTCTTGCCTTAGCCTCCTGAGTTGCTGGAATTATAGATATGTATCTCCATGTCCAGCTTAAATTTTATAAAAAATATTTTTAGTTGTAGATGGACACAATAACTTTATTTTGTTTATTTAGTTTTCTTATGTGGTGCTGGGGATCGAACCCAATGCCTCACACATGCTAGGCAAGTGCTCTACCACTGAGCCACACCCCAGCCCCAGCTTAAATATTAATTCTTTAATCAAGTACAATTGGGCTATCTCCTCCATTCCTTTCTCTTTTTTTTTTTTTCTTTTTAATTTATTCTTTTTAGCTATAAATGACAGATTTTTTTTTTTTTGTACTGGAGATTGAACCCTGGGGTGCTTTACCACTCAGCCATATCCCCAACCCTTTTTTCATATTTTATTAGAGACAGGGCTGCTTAGGGCCTCACTAAATTGCTGAGGCTGGCTTTGAACTTGCAATCCTCCTTCTTCAGCCTCCCAAGTCACTGGGACTACAGGCATGTGCCACCACACCTGGCTAGAATGTATTTTGACATATCATACACACATGGAGTATAATTTCCCATTCTTGTGGTTGTACATGATGTGGGGTTACACCAGTCATGTATTCACATATGAACATAGGAAAGTTATGTCTGATTCATTCTACTGTCTTTGCTATTCTCAACTCCCCCACTTCCCTTCATTCCACTTTGTCTAATCCATAAACTTCTATTCTTCCCTCCTACTCCCATTGTGTGTTAGAATCCACATATCAGAGAGAACATTCAGCCTTAGGATTTGGGGGATTGGCTTATTTAACTTAGCAAGACAGTCTCCAATTCCATCCATCTATTAGCAAACACCATAATTTTATTCTTTATGGCTGAGTGATATTCCATTGTATATACTTACCACTCTTCCATTCCTTATTTTTTTAGTTGTAATACCTTTATTTTTAAAATTTATTTTAATGTGGTGCTGAGGATTGAACCTCACTCGTGCTATGCAAGCACTCTACCACTGAGTCATAACTGCAGCCCCTCTATTCCTTTTTTTAAATTTTTTATTTTTGATACTGGGAATTGAACTCAGGGGCACTCAACCACTGAGCCATATCCCCAGACCTATTTTGTATTTTATTTAGAGACAAGGTCTCACTGAGTTGCTTAGTGCATCGCTAAGTTGATGAGGCTGGCTTTGAACTCATAATCCTCTTGTCAAGCCTCCCGAGCCATCGGGATTATAGGAAGGTGCCACAATGCCCGGCTTCCATTCCTTCTTAAGAAACAAAATTTTCAAGGAATTCAGTGACTTCCCTATTGCCAAATACACCAATCATCTTTCAGCCTTGATACTCAGATCTTCTCTGTAGTATCTGCAATTGCTGATTGCTCCCCATTAAACTGAAAATTTTCCTCCTTTGGCTTCTATAACTATGTTCTTGTAGTTTCCCTCTTTATTACTTCCCAAATGCATAGATAGCCCTTTTTCCTCTACCCGCACATGTCAAGATCTTATGCTTGATCTTTTTACTACACATGTTCTCCAACATTGCTGAGCTCCTCTGGTGTTCCCCACCTCCAGTCAGCCCACCTCCCAGCTTCCTCCCAGACAGCCCTATTTACCAATCCCTTACATCCAATGTTACAGAGCAGAACTCTTATATTGTACTCATGACCTGCTCTTCCACATGTATTTCTGATTTTAGAGAATGGCACCATCATGCAATAATGTGTCCTCTGAGCCAGAGTCATGCTAGTGAAACTTGAGTCCTCTGTCCTTCCTGACATATGATCACTACATTGTGCTGATTCTGCTGCCTATCTCTCTCTATTACCAGCCTCTGTCTCTCTCTCCTCTCCCCTCTGTCTCATACATCTTCACTTCTTGGGATTGGTTCAGCTCTCTCATAGAGAGATGATATTTGAGCTATTTGGTTTACTCTCTTTCAAATAATCATTCCTTTCTCCCAAAAGATAACCTGATGGAGACACTCTCCTGCTTAACGTACTCAGGAGCTCCCCATTACCTCAGTCCCTCCAGCTCTGGCCCATGCTTATACATCACCGCCCCCTTCTGTTCCCTTCTTATGTGACCTAAACTCCAGTCCTGATTCCCAGGAGTTCCTGGAAGCAGCCTAAGCCTCACTCACTGCCATCATGCCATTCTTGTCACTACAGTCCCCTTCCCCTCCCTGGATGGTCTGACATACAAACTAACCTCTCCATGACATGGTGTCTCTCTGCCCCATTACAGGTCACTCTTCCCTTTGACTCCTACTCTACCAGTCATGCCTCAGTAAAGGCCTGATCACAAGAAACTCCAACATCTCACAAGTCTGTGTCTCTAAAGCCTCCAGAGTACCAGGAAGTGCCCTTTCAGTGAAGGAGCGAATACAGGCAAAATTACCTCAACATCTAGTCCAAACTGGATGGCAAAGCTCTCAGCTTCAGCAAATCTGTGTTTGTGAAGTAACCGACTCAACCTGGTAAGTTGAAAAAGAAATTTCATTCAGAATTTATTAATGAAGGAATTTAAACTTCTTGTTAAAGGGTAAAGCTTAAAATAAAAAAGTTACCTGTTTTCTGGTAAAGCTTCTGTGAGACACCTGAGCACTAAAACAGAGGTGGTATCCTCAGACAGTCTGAAAAAAGATCATGGTATCAGTGCCCTGGTTATTTAGGGTTAATGAGCAAATTTTAACTTGCCTGTTACTTAACAATTTATCAGATAAAACAAAACATGACCTACTTTGGATCATTTTTGCTAATTCCTTCCAGAAGATATATGGTGTCCTACAAAAACAAAAACATGATTAAAATTCCAAGATAAGGAAAATGTATTTTTATCATCGATAGAATTACAACTGATTCAATTAAGAATCCATCCATCGATGGGTTTTAAACCACCGAGGAAAAACAGTTAAGAAAAAGAATCTTCCCGTGGTCTCAAAATAACACCGCACAAATTACTTATTAATTATAAATAGGAAAATATATCTTTATAAGTGGAAAAATCTGGCAGAAGTGTCTTCGTCGAGAAATCAAATTTAACAACACAGATACAGGACAAATGGGAACTATGAGGCACTTACTGTGATATGGCTAGGACCCAGAATTACCTATGTAGTACTTGTGTCAAAAGAGCTGAGCATGAATCTAACCATGATGAAATGATCAGAAAAATCCACACAGAGGGCCATTCCACAAAACCAGATGCTGGGACTCTTCAAAAATGCCAGTGTCTTAAGACAAAGACTATGGAACTACACTAGATGGAACAACTCCATGACTAAATTCAATAAATGATCCTTGATTAGATCCTGGATTAAAAATTATAATAATAATGGCTTTAAAGTAATTGATACAATCGTGAAATTTGAATTTGGAAGGTATATTTTATAACAGCATTGGATTAATGTTAAATTTTCTGAGTGTGTTAAGTATACTGTAGGAGAATGACCTTATTCCTATTTATTTATTTATTTGGTACTGGGGGATAGAACACAGGGGTGATTCATTACTGAGCTATATCCATAGCCCTTTTTATTTTTTATTTTGAGAGAGGGTCTCACTAAGTTGTTTAGGGTCTGGCTAAGTTGTTGAGGTTGGCCTTAAACTTGCAATACCTCAGCCTCTGCAGTTAGGCATATACTACCGTGCACAGCAGAATGACCTTATTCTTAAAATATACTTACTGAAGCATTTAGAAGTGAGAAGACAGAAAGTCTACAAGTAATTTCTAAATTCTTTAGAAAAATATTGCATGTAAACGTGCATATAAAAAAAAAAAAAGGAGGGCTGGGGCTGAGCGGTACAGCGCTCGCCTAGCACGTGTTAGGCATTGGTTTCGATCCTCAGCACCATATGAATAAATAAAATGAAGGTATTGTATCCAACTACAACTAAGAAAATACTAAAAAAAAAAGAAAAAGAAATGGAACAAGATAGGTGAGGTGGTACATGCCTGTATTTGGTATGTACTAGATATTTCGAAGGCTGAGGCAGGAGGATTGCCAAGTACCAGGCCAGCCTGAGCAATTTATTTATTTATTTATTTTTTCCTTAAATTTTTTTTTTTTTTAAAGAGACAGAGAGAGAGAGAGAGAGAGAGAATTTTTTAATATTTATTTTTTAGTTCTCGGCGGACACAACATCTTTGTTTGTATGTGGTACTGAGGATCGAACCTGGGCCGCACGCATGCCAGGCAAGCGCACTACCACTTGAGCCACATCCCCAGCCCCAGCCTGAGCAATTTAAAGTCATCCTATCACAAAATAAAAAAATTAAAAGGGCTGAGGATTTAGGTAAGTGATACAGTGTTTGCCTAGAATACTTGAGGCCAAGCACTTGACCTGTATTGTTTAAAAAAAAAGAGAGAGAATAAAACAAATATGGTAAAACTTTTTTTAAAAGGTTACAATTTAAAAAAATAGGAGCATCACACTATAAAGTTATGTACAATTATTACATGTTAATCAAAATATTTTAAGTAATGTTTAAGGAAATAGGAATGTTAACTACCTTGATTTAATCATTACACACTTTAGACATATATTGAATTATCACATTGTAATCTATGAATCTGTACAAATTAAAAATAAATAAAAACATTAGTCCTTCCTAAAATTATTATCTGTATTTCCTATAAAAAAACAATAATATTGAATAAGCAGATGACTGATGTGCTATTTGATTTTCTTTTCTTTTTCTTCTTCTTTTTTTTTTTAATATAGAGACAGATCTTGGTCGAGAAAGTATATCTGAGTTAACAATAAATATAAGGGCTGTGGCTGTGACTCAGTGGTAGAGTGCTTGCCTAGCATTGTGAGGCACTGGTTTGATCCTCAGCAGAACGTATAATACATAAATAAATTAATTAAAGGTTCACTGACCAAAAAAAAACCTTAAAAAAATAAATAAATAAATATAGTTACAAACTTGAGATCTTTCCAGATATTCCATTAGGATCCAGATATTGAGATTAGTTACACTTAAGTTTTTAAAAAATTAATAAAAAGTAGTTTAAAATATGTATAAACTTACTGTGCTAATTCCTGTTTGAACCAGAGAAGAAATACTAGATACTTCCAAAGAATATAGTATTTCCATTGAAGGTAATGAATAAACCATGAGATTTCTCATCTAAGAGAAATAGAAAAGCAACTAATTGAGTGGGTCATTATAAAACTACACGCACAAAAGAGCCCCAGACAATCTAGGTCACACATTTCACACCTGGTACACAAAGCTAAACACAAAAAATTCCTTTTCAAGTAAACTTGTTATTGTATTATTTAAATGTTACATATAAAATTATGTTTTATTCCATCTTTATATCTGTTGAATAAAAACCCATATACCTAAGTCTACTCTACAACTTTTATTTAGGGTGAATGTAATCCTTTGTCACCAGGATTATATATATAGACACTTAGGGACTATTTGATTTCTAAAACACTATATTTAAAAAGTGCAGCTAAGATTTATATCACTTTTTTTAAATGGAAAGAAGGAGTTCTATAGAATTCTTTCTGATTTGTGAAGTGTCTGTGTGAACTAAGAGTTTATACATTGTGAGCATTGCTTAACATTTATTTTTGTATTTATAAATGCTATTTCTAACGCGATATAGACAAACATGAAATAAAAATTTCCAGTACCTTTTTATCAATTGCAGTTGTGAGAGCTACTAATTTGAGATTTGTAATCCCTTGCCTAAAAGAGAAAAAACCTCCAAGTAATCAAACAGGCATTGACAGTTGCTAGATATGTTAAATTGATACTCTTGCATAAAGTTGCAAAGGATTTACAGAAGAGATGTTGGACTCTTTCTCCATGTTTATAGCCTAGATTGACATTCTGTTTCTAACATAATTACTTGGAAGATCATAATGTCTAGTTGTTTCCAATGGAAATATGCAGACAAGTTCGTCCTTCCTCTCAGACAAATCACAGTGCAGTTTAGAACATTAGTCTGAACAAAATCAGATAAGGAACCTGGTGCTAAGAGATGGAAAATTACTACTAGCCAGTCATGACATACCAGGTGACTGACGAAGGAGACTCTGCTTCTGTAGTGAGGAGAAACTCCTCTATGTGAAGGGAGGGCCAGTTCCATATGGGAGTGAGCGTGTAGACATCCCACAAACTCAGCATATTCTGAAAAAGAGACATTCTACTTACATGTCTTTTAATTAACTATAAATTTACACTTCAGGACATTTACACACACACATACACTGAAACAAAGCCCACAGTACACTAGACAGTAATCTACTCCAGGTCAAGTCCTTGTCTTGGTAAGTTTGACAACAATTTTTTTTTTTTAAATATTTTCGTGTAAATTGACACAATACCTTTATTTTATCTATCTATTTTTATGTGGAGCTGAGGAGCAAACCCAGTGCCTCACATGTGCCAGGCAAGCACTCTACCCTGAGTCACAACCCCAGCCTAGTTTGACAACATTTTTACTTTCATTTTTGTTTGCTGGGGAATGAACCCATGAGTACTCTACAACTGAGTTACATCTCTGGCCATTACTGTTTTTTATTTCATTTAATTAATTTACTTATTTTATGGTACTAGAGGCTAGACCCAGGGACATTCCACCACAGACCTTTTTTTTTTAATTATTATTACTTAAATTTTAAGACAGAATCTCATTAAGTTGCCCAGGCTGGCCTCTGGCTTACAATCTTCCTGCAGTAGGTAGGATGTCAAGCATAAGCCACCACATCTGGCTAACTTTTTCTACTGTTACGAGTATCAGGACTAAGGTACAGAGTGTTTGTTTTGCATGCTTTAAGGCCCTAGGTTCCATACCCAGTGTCACAAAAAATGAACACACAAAAACCATAGCATCAACTGCAAATCTGAAGGAGATATATAAAAGAAACATACATCAGTATCAAGAATGAAAAGTAGATTGTCTATCAGCTGGAACTTCTTTGAACCTACAAAAGAGAAAGCAAGATGTCTAAGAATTTATTTCAGTGTTACAGAGTTATGTTAAAATTGGAAACTAACATATTCAAGATAGCAGAACCTCAGAAGTCACCATTTTTCATTAATTCCTGACTTTTTTTTTTTTTTTTTTTTAGGTGACCCTTAAATGCAGACCTCCCAAAAGAAGAATAACAACAGCAACATGTCAAGAACAGTCTTGAGTGAACCATCAGCAAACTAATCTAAGTTTCAAAAAATAGTATGTTCAAAGGCCCATTCACCAACCTAAGAATAACAAGAAATCTAGAACTAATAAATACAAAAGTACTTTCTTTTTTCTTTTTTTAATATTTATTTTTTAGGGCTGGGGATGTGGCTCAAGTGGTAGCGCGCTTGCTTGGCATGCGAGCGGCCCGGGTTCGATCCTCAGCACCACATACAAACAAAGATGTTGTGTCCGCTGAGAACTAAAAAAATAAATATTAAAAAAAAAAATTATTTTTTAGTTGGACACAATATCGTTATTTTATTTAATTTTTTTATGTGGTGCTAAGGATCAAACCCAGGGCCTTGCACATGCTAGGCAAGCAATCTACCACTGAGCCACAAAACCCCAGCCACCAGATGTACTTTCATTGATTTATTTTACCTTTGATAATCTCTGCATCAATATAATTCTTAACCGTCATCCCTTTCTTGGAAGAATCTGGTTCCCATTTTGAGATTGCACAAACACCGGTTCCCTAGAAAAGCAAAAATGATACATCAATTGCAAATTTGGTCCTAAGACCTGAACTTTCCTCAAAATAGAAACATGTAAATTGTGTACATTACTGATTTCAAATATATTTACATATTTAGAGCCCAATCAGCTTTTGTCTCCCAGTTCCTCTAAGTTTCATGAGAATAGAAAGAACAGTGAGCTGTTGATACATTTTAATCACATGAATATTTAATAAGGAGTAAGTATATTCATGCAGCACACCCAAAAGACAGACTTTTCCAGCATTAAAATGTAAATATTGTCTTTGCTAACTATTTTTATTAAAATAACCACAAGTAGCCAAGTACAATGACACAAGCCTGTCATTGCAATGACTCAGGAGGCTAATGCAGAAGGGTTAAGAGTTCAAGTCCATTGAACAACCAATTAAAAAAAAAAAGAGTTCAAGTCCAGCCTCAGCAACTTAAATAGACCTTGTGTCAAAATAAAAATAAAAAGGGCTGGGCCTGGGGTTGTGACTCAGCGGTAGAGCACTCGTCTAGCATGTGCAAGGTACTGGGTTTAAGCCTCAGCACCAAATATAAATAAATAAAGGTTTTTTTAAAAAAGAGTTGGGATATAGCTCAGTGAGTGCCCCTCTCCCCATAAATAAATAATCGAGTATTTATGGAAAATTCTCTTTTTAAATATTTATTTTTTAGTTATAGGTAAACACAATATCTTTATTTTTTTTATTTTTACGAGGTGCTGAGGATCGAACCCAGTGCCTCAAGCATGGTACGTGAGTGCTCGACCTCTGAGCCACAACCCCAGCCCTAGAAAATTCTTACAAATATTAACTTTAAATTATTTAGAACTGTGGTGAGATATCAAACCATATGCACAATGTAGAAGTATAACTGGAAACGGTGGTGAGATATCAAACTATATGCACAATGTAGAAATACAACTAACTGCTTTTTAAAAAAATTTTTTTTTTAGTTGTAGATGGACACAATATCTTTGTTTTATTTATTTTTTTATGTGGTGTAAATGATCAAACCTCACACATGCGAGGCAAGCGCTCAACCACTGAGTTACAACCCCAGCCCTAACTGCTTCTTGATGTATGATATAAATGCAGCAAGTAAAAATGTCATTGTAAATGCTATAATTACATTGAATTTTTGTCCACCCCTTTAATTAGCTGCTTTTCCACCCAAATTCTGAGAAATTATAACTAGTTAATAGAAGTGACATATAAATAAGGAACAGTAACTTTTCATACAAAACATAAGACAACAGACTGGGGGTGTAGCTCAGTGGTAGAGCACTGGCCTAGCATGTGTGCAAGGTCCTGGGTTCAATCCCCAGTAGAAAAAAAAGAACAGAACAACAAAAAATGAGACATTACATAGTAAAATGTATCCTTTGAGCTATCTTTCCAACCATGCTTGAAAAGGGAATTGTACTCTTCTAAGTACATTCTTGTCCAGTTTCCCATATTACTAATGAAAAGTATTTGCAAATAGGTTGATTACCCAAGACGAAGAATAAGGTAGGATCTGTTACTACAAGATAAGAATTAATTAGGAATTCTAATTCTTTTGGATCACTGTCTAATACAGAGGTTCTTAACAGGCTTATTTCAAGATTCCAAGGAATTGTGAACCAGAATAGGAAAAAAAATTACATCTTTATTTTCCCAAATCTCCACCTGAAATTTAGTATTTCTTTCACTTATAAATGTAGGCGAAACCTAAAATAAAATGAAATGAAATCCTTAGAACCTTTATTTTGTCACAATAGTAAATACACATTCTGACAGCCTATTGTCACTATAATCTTAAAGTATCCATGGGCAAACAATCTTTCAAGATAATTGATTATTATATTATAATATGATTATTTTTAAATCTGTGATTTCTATTTAGCAACAACGTCACAGGTACTGCTGTGACTGGAATTTTTTTGGTTTTGATGTTTTTGCCTATATTCAAAATTCAAAGAAATGCTAAAATTGCAGAGACATACTAGTGAAAATAAAGATGCACTATTTTTCCAAGAGAGAAAATTAGGTTTATTTATTGAGTTAATTTTACTAACTTAATTTTTTTTAATCCCTGTTTGTTATACATGTTGCAAATTAATTTGATAACACATCAGGCACCAAAACTCCACAAAATTTTATAAAAAGAATTACCCCAATTATCACAGGAGTTTCACTTGCTAAATCTCCAGTCACAAGATTGAGACAACCAAGAGTATGATAATTTTCAGTAGAAATAAAACTGGATTTGATTTGTCCTTGTAACTACAAAAAAAAAAAAAAAAAAAAAATTAGTATGTTCCATATTCACTTTTTCTTTTTTTGCAGAGGGGTACTAGGGATTGAATTTGGGGGCACTCGACCACTGAGCCACATCCCCAGCTCTTATTATATTTTATTTAGAGACAAGGTCTCAATGAATTGCTTAGCAGCTTACTTTTGCTGAGACTGGTTTTGAACTTGTGATCATCCTGTCTCAGCCTCCTGAGTCACTGGGATTACAGGCATGCGCCACAGTGCCTGGCTACATTTTTTTCCTTATGCTCCACAAAAATCACTTTAAATCAATCAGATATAAATGTATTTTTAAACAGAAATTTATTAAAATGTCACATCAAGCTAGGCATGCTTGTGCACACCTGCAATCCCAGCTACTTGGGAGGCTGAGGCAGGGGGATCGCAAATTGGAGGTCAACATTGGCAAATTAATGAAACCCTAGCTCGAAATAAAAAATAAAAGAGATAGGGAAGTAGCTCAGTGGTAAAGTGCCCCTGGGCTCAATCTCCAGTATGGAGGATGGGGATGGAAGTCATATTATAGCAGTTCCTAAAATTGCCACCAATATACAGAAACACTGTCTGCATTTATATTAAATTTAAGTTTAAAGAGGACAATATTATTTTGTTTTCTTACCTTTTTGACTGTATCCAAATCTACATTCTCAATTGCTGCATTAAAAAAAGAAAGCAGGCTAAACTTGTGATGTCAATCTATAAAATAATTCAAGTCACCCCTTTATTGTCAAAGTTCATGATTAATAAGTTAAGGCTTACTTTTCAGTATTACCCTTGATCAATAGTATAAATTATAAGCACACATATTGTATTCAGGGTACCAGCCAAGCTGACTGAATGTTCCCCATAGTACAGCTCTGCCCCAACCCCTTTCCATGTTCCTTCCTACCAAGAGGGTCTTCTTATTCTACTGTGAAGCCTTGATCATTTCTCACTCTGCTTTGGAATAGCTCTTTTATTTATCTGGCTCCTTCATTAAACATCAGAAAACTGGATCTTAAACCTTGTGATATACTCAGGACCTAGTAGAGGCCTAGTACATAGGAAAAGTTTTAAAACATTTGTGGAATACATGCTCTGAACCAATTCCTCAGTCTTCCCTGGCTCAAAGGGACATTTGGTCCACACCAATCACTGAATATGTTATCAATTTCTGCTCTACACTATTAACTCTTATATAGTTATTTCCATTTCTAAGTTCATTCACTTCAACAAAAAAAATTTATTTTTCTGCTAGTGTATATCTTTCCTCCCCAACTAAGTTATATATTTCTTGAAGGCTATAACCAAATTATATTTCCTCAGATTCCATAGCAGCTGTAACAGAGGAAAGTAAGTGTATTCTGAAAATTTCCAAGTATACTAGAATAAATGCAATTAAAATACAATATTTTTAAAGAGAATATTTGAAAATCTACCTGGAAAACTAAAAATTACTGCTGAAAATTAATAAGAAAATAATGTATTGCATACCTTGCTGGATTTTTACAAGCTGAAGATTTGTAACATAAAAAAATCCATTATTTGTAAGAAGCAACATATAATAGGTACCTATTAAAATGAAATCAAAATCAGTTTCTCTGAAAGTCATGTGGATACAAAATTTAAACCAGTCTCTAGAACTAATTTAAAAATATGTCAATTTGCTCTTTTAAATTCTAATTAAATAATATATTAACATTACAGACAAAGCTTATTTACAAAAGTTGGTTCGTTATTAACTAAAAATGTTAAGTTCTTTGAACCTTTTACATGAAAACTAAACATATGTTCCAGAAAAAGAGTCAGATATACCAGAATAAATTATATTCCAGTTAATCTTTATTGAAACCAAACTATAATATGCTGAAACCCACAAAAACATTTAAAAAAAAGTCTTCTTGTAAAAATGAGTATAAAACATTATATTTAGGAAAGCATATATTTAATCCTCTGAAAAATGCTAAGATAAAAAAATTGCTTCTTATTAACTGCATCAAAATTAATCTTAATATAGTGTAGGTAGTATAATAATGAATTTATACTATTTGTTAAAAATGAGTATGAATTTCTTATTGGATATTTAACAGAAGACATGCAAAATAAATTCAAGAAAACTTACCTTCATTTGAACCATCTTTGTCAATAACAAGATTCTGATAGGTATGCTGATGTTCATCATTAGCTTTCTCAACAAAAGCCTAATTACAAATTAATTTCAATAATAAGATTAAACCCAGAAAAAATGCAATGAGGATTATATTCTCTAAGCCCTGGAATATCAATTATCATTACTAATAATTCTG